CCTTTGTCTTTTGGGTTAGGTTTTTTGGGTTAGCTCTTTCTTAAACTCATCGGTCTTGACTACAAGGGAGTGACCCTGCTGGATAGCCTGCAAGAATGCAAAAAAAAAAAAAATCGTTAAGTATGAAAACCAGAGTATTAGATTAAAAATTACAAGTGTTGAGACTTACCAATACACAATGCTACATCATCATCGCATAGTTTTCATACTCCGAAAGCTCAGCCATCCGATTGATGTCGCCTGGAAGTAGAATGACGGTGGAAATAGTGGCACTGACTTCCAGACTGTCAAGCGCACTATCCCAGGCTAGCAGAGGTCTGTCCCCGATCGTAACGGACGGAGTCCAGAGAGCATTGGCATGAAATCCAGAGGGCTCAGAAGACCCGTCGGACCTCGATTTTTTTGGTTGGAGTTGGTCGGATGCCTCGGCCTCGGTAGGCCTCTTCTCAGCTGACTTATCTACTTCAGCCAATTTTGAAATTGGTGCTGTGTCTTCTGACTCCACCTTAGTGGCGCTAGGCTTGGGCTTGGCCCTTTTTACCCTTTTTGTCTTGGGTTTTGGCTGCAATTGGGAATGAGATGAGGAGTGGACTAACACCACACTTGGGATGTCGGCAAGAAGGTCGTCCAAAATGATCTTCACACGGCCCATCTCTTCGGTGGTGGCGGCAACAGTGACCTTGGTTCCAAGATGGATTATTGGAAGGGCTATGAGAGGATTGGCTGGATCAAAGGTTGATGCTTCAGATTCTTGGCGTAAGCGGCCACGAGTTCTGCCTACAGGAGCGAAGAGAGAAGCTCTGCGTTGGTGTTGGCATTAGGATAGAGGAATCAACTAAGGGGCAGAAGTGGATGGCTGGTCAACTGGGTCAGAGGTGAAGGCCTTATCTGGCTTTGGAGATGAGGCTATTGGAGGAGTAGATGAAGAAGGTGGAGTCTTGCTTTTTTTGGGGATGTCGGGCAGTGGACTCCTATATGTCGGAATAAAATTAAGGAGGATTGGGGCCTTGCGCACTTCAATGGGCAAACGAAGAAGGCGCGTACCAGATCCTTGCTTGGCACGTAGTATTGGCGGAATTCCTTTTCAGGCTAAAGAAGGGCTGTAAAAACACAAAAGAAAACATTAGAAATTGAAAGATAGTTAAGTAAAGTTACAGACAAAGGGACTTTGGGAGGGGATTAGGTCCTTACCTTTGTCATCCCTAAAAACTTCACGGCGCAAGGGGAATGGTGGAGTTCATCATCTGGCGCAAACTCCTAATTACCCGAGACAATTAGGTAGTCGTCTGTCGCGCCTTTATTAGAATTTGGGATAACAGCTATCAACTTGTATTGCGTAGATCTCGGCTTGAGGTAGTAGGTGTAACCTTTGGGTGTTTTTAAGCTACATATGGTTTAGCAGTGTTGGATATTAGAGAGTGTGATTTTGGCATTTTGCCGACATGCCAATTTGGCAATACCATTGATGATCCTGAAGGAATTAACGGCCAATTGCATGGGATTGAGTTTATAGTAGTGGAGGACTTCCCTAAAGAGGATATGTAGGGGAAACCTAACTCCTCCTTCCACAATAGAGACAACTAGGAATGGCATATAATCTTGGCCAGGCATAATTGAGTCATCCTTCCCAGCCAACCTCAGATGGACGTTGGCTGGAATAGAAAACTCTTGCCTAAGGTATTTCAGCTTGGCAGGGGTGTCTACTTTCCACTTAAACATTCCCATAATGTAGGCTTAGTGAAGATTGGTGTGAAATTTCAGAAAGGAATATTTGGTATGGGTTCAAATACCTCGGCTATACCCTAAACTGGTACCGGAGCTAGGGTTTTTTCAAATCTAAATGGGGGTTTTTGGTTCAGTTTTTCCTAAGTATTTGGTTTCTAAGCAAATCCCAAGCCTATGGTCTATGCAAGTGAACAAAAAATTTGTAGACAGAATCTGAAAATAGAACAAGAAGACCAAACAAGAAATATAATTCAGAAATCAAGATTGAAACAAGAAACAAGAGCAAGAATCTGAAAGACTGACAAAGCAAACAGAACGAAGTTCAGGGCCAAGAAGGATTCAAAGGCAAAATTCAAGAATCACAAATGTAGAATCCCAAATCCACAAAACACTGAGTGAGTGTGTGGGGGCAGTACGCGCAAATCACAAATGTGATTGATAGTTAAAAGACACAGTGACAAACTTTAAAACATAAAGCAGATTCAAGGAATCAATTCATGATACAACAATGAGTGCGAGATTTAACAAACAATAATACAATAAAAAAAGCATATGGCGAGTTCATAAAAAAAACATATTCAGAACAGTGGAAGACTGAGATTTGAAAGATAGAAATTGAGAACTTACCAAATAAAGTCGAGGAAACGAGGCCGGACAGAGATTTGCCGGAGTCCAATGATGATGTTGTCCAGAGTTCGATGGAAAAAAGTTCGCCGGAGAAGACGAATGAAACGGTTGCAGAACTTTGGAGAAGTAGTAATGGCGGTTCGAGAGTGGAAGTTTAGAGAGAGAAAATTTGTGAAACGAGGGAGATTGTTTTTTGCAAAAGTGAAGAGACGGAGAGAGAGGGAGAAGTTTTGTTGATATTGTGAAAAATGCGATAGGCTATAATGATGTGCCTTGGACAACGTGTCTGTCAGGTGGCGTAAAAAGCAGCGATGCGTCTTGATAGCGCGTGTTAGGTACGAACTAATGAGAGAAGGACGCGTGGCAGAAACGGTTGAGAAAACCGTGCGTGACAGCTCATGAGCAGATAAAACTCTTGGAGTTCTTGATTTAATCAAGCAAAAACCTCAGCTAGAGAAACGATCTCAGTTAAGATACTTAAAGAACTTGGTTCTTGGTTCTTGATCCCTGATAAAAATGGACAGTTGAGTGCTGGGTACTTGAAGCCGACGAGTGAAGACCTCGGTCGACGGGAAGAATGAATTTTTAGCCGACATAGTATTTGAACAAACGATATAGGTTCCATTACCTTAGGATGTCGAGGTAATAGAACCTAGGGGTAATTGTGGGGACATATTTTGAGAATGATAGCACGTGGTTAAAGGTGATGCCGAGGTATTAGCCGAGGTGCCACGTGGCCTGGTCATGATGCCGAGATTATCTCGGCTAGGCCGAGGTCATCTGTGGAGATATCGGAATCTGGGATATTCGGATAGAGGACAAGAGTCCTAGAATATGGGAGGACCTCAGTCTGGATAAAGATAAAGCTCTTAGGGAGTTTATCTCTATCTAACTGGGAGTCCAAGATGAGCATTGAGCCAAAGTCCATTGAAGCTAGGCTTCTACAAGGATTAGATTAGTGCTGACTATAAAAGGAAGGCACCCTCATGGGTCTAAGGGAGGCTTTGATTATTCTGTCTAATGAGTTAATCACTATTTGTTATCTTTATGAGATAATGATTACTAACTTGATCGTCGGAGTGCCCCTAGGTGGACGAACCACTACCAGATTCTTATCTTTCTGTGACTGGTTGTTCGAGCTTAATCTATTATGCCAGTGTTCTCCAGCTAAGTACCCTATTTGGTTGTGAGGTCAAAAATCAACACCCACAAAATCTAATTGATAATCACAAGTAGGGGTGAGCATGGTTCGGGTTAGTTCAGTTTGGCGTAAAGTCAAGATCAATATGTTGTTTACGATTCCATTAAAATTGGGACCAAACCAATCCATTTAAGTCTTGAAACCAATCCGAACCAAACCATTTAAACATAGTTTGGCTCAATTTGGAATCACGATTTCACATAATTTGTTCACAAAAAAAATCATATAACATTTTCAAAAAAATTCAACTTATTATAAATTTTAAAAATAATAATAACATGCCCACCAAATAAAAACATAACAATAAGTTTAATCTACCCTTGATTTTTCAAAACATAACTTCAACAGATATAATATCTAAGACTCCCATATTGTTCAACATAACATAACATATTGTTCAACATGTAGCAATCAAAAGACTCCCATAAAAAAAATCACCTTATTGTGAATCACAAAACTAAAATTATGCTAACTAATTAAAAAAATTACATATGGTCTGGTTCAGTTCTAATTCGAAGCCGTAAACTTAAATCCAAAACGGATTCGCAGAAACCAGCTCCTCAATTTTATAACTAGAACCGAATCACGGATTCAAAAAATCAGTTCAAACCTACCGGATTGGATTGGACCGGTTTGGATTGTAGATTTTTCAATTTTCTTATTTAGTCTTGGCAATAGTTGAAGAAAGTCTAAGAGAGAACATGAAGCCTTTTTTTTTTAAACCAGTAGGATATTAATTACAAATATGAGAAATATTATATCAAATTAGACTGTTAATGCCTAACAACTATTATTAGCCCAAATTTAAGAAAAAAATATGCACCAGACAAAACTTGATATAATCCTCTTAATAATTTTTTAATTGTTTTTGTGTCTGATTCTTTAATAAATTTATATGTAAGTAAAAAATAAATAAATACATCAGCCAAGTAAGTCGACATTCGCTACAATCATGTGCATTATTATTTTGTTTGTGAAATTACAGAGCAAATGTAGCAAAAGTTGTAGTCAAAATTACGGCTAAGATCTTCTTAGTGCATAAAGCTATATCTAACTCTTTTTAATTTTTAATTACGTGTCTCTATACTGTGGCCCAGATTATTATAAGACTAATTCAAATACCCACCTTATGAGGATCTCTATAATTTGATTTATTTTTATATTTTTCACAATTTTGACCAACAAAACAAGACAATAAGCACTGAAATTTTTCAGAATATTCAACTTCTCTGTAAGAAATACTATCTGTCACTTCAGAAGATGTGTAACTCAGAGGTATTACTTTGGAAACAACAAAAAAATGTTCATGTTTTCATGCAATGCAAATTTAACTCAGCTAGCTTACATGTTTTTTGTTTTTGTTTTTGTAATAATTTGTCAGTATCATGAGAGCGATGGGAATGATTCAGGTGAAACTGTAAGAACCAACCCATCAATAGACTTGAATAGCTGGTTGCCGGTAACTGCATCTCGGAAGGCAAAATGGTGGTACTCGACTTTCCATAATGTAACTGCCATGGTTGGCGCCGGCGTCCTAGGCTTACCATTCGCCATGTCCCAACTCGGCTGGTATTTTTTCTTGTTCCTTTTTTTTTTTTAATACTAATAGTCCAATGAATTGTTGCTGGAATGTTGTTTTTGATAAAAAAATGGGAATGGGATCCAAATAATATATTTTGAGAATATAAATGGAAGAACAAATACTCTGTTTTTATTTCTGATTTCAGGATACATGTAGTATCTCTTATTTTTCTCTCAATCTCATGATCTTAAAACATCACCTATTTATAGTACTAAGCCTCAGGTGTGAATACCGGATGGCGGTGAGCTGTTATCAGCTCAATTCATATGTTTTTAGCATTTTCTTCTTTATTAAACTTTTGACCATGGAGCTTCCATGAACCATCTTCCAACTTCAAACTCCTCCTGGAATGATCTTCATGATTCTTCAAGTATGTTGCTGTTGAATTGGGTTTGGATTTTTCAACAGTTTTGTGACAGTAATTCATGTTTTGCTACCTTTTTGGTGACAAAACATTTCTGTTGCTAATATTATGTCATTAATATTAAGGTGGTGTTTGATAATTATTAAAAGTTTTTCTTTTTTTTTCCTCATTAGTAAATTTTTTTATATAAAAAATTGAAAAAAAAAATATGACACAAAGGAATTCCAGTAAAGACCAAATGAAATTTGACCCAAAAAAAATGCTTTCTTAGATGTTGCCAAAAAGAGATTAATATTAGCCAGCATGTCGTCGTAAAAACTTTTTTTTTTTTGGGTTTTTTTGGGTAAAGTGCCAGCACTATTGCAAAAATAATAATAATAAGTAATGATGCAAAAGTAGTGTGGTTCACCAATCATTTTGGTTTAGTATTTGCAAATGATTGGATTTGCCTTTTGATATCAACTTAATTGATATTGTTAAGTTTTGTTGTGATACTTTGTGCATTTTTTTTTTTATTGATGAAAAATTTAAAAATTTTCTAAATATTGATTTGTGATTATATATCAATTTTAAGCAGTATATAACAATCCCAATCAAACAATCAAGACAAATCGACACAACGATTTTACATAGAAAAACCATAATTAGACACCCCCAATTGTGATAAAAAAAACTACGGGCAACAGCCACAAAATAATCCACTAAGAAGATATAAAGGAATTACACAGGTATACTCTCAATTACCTAACGAATCCACGCCCGAATTAAAGTGCCAGCACTATTGCAAAAAAATAATAATAAATAATGATGCAAAAACTCTGTTTAAAGTAGTGTGGTTCACCAATCATTTTGGTTTAGTATTTGCAGATGATTGGATTTGTTTTTTGATATCAACTTAATTGATATTAAGTTTTATTGTGATACTTTGTGCACTTTTTTTTTTTATTGATGAAAAATTTAGAAATTCTCTAGATGTTGATTTGTGATTATATATCAATTTTAAGCAGTATATAACAATCTCAATCAAAGAAATCCCAATCAAACAATCAAGACAAATCGACACAACGATTTTACATGAAAAAATTACAATTGGACACCTCCAATTGTGATAAAAAAATCACGGGCAACAGCCACAAAACAATCCACTAAGAAGATATAAAGGAATTACACAGGTATACTATCAATTACCTAGCGAATCCACGCCCGAATTGAACCAACCTCTATGTGCCTCTTCCAACCCCGTCTTTACCTCGGAATTGCCTTGACGATGAGCTACTCCAGAATCCACCAAAGCTTCAGGCTCGAATTCTTCAAAATCCACCGAAGAACAACTTTCTCTTTTGTATAGAATGAACAAACAAACCTTTGATGTATTCTTCTTAACCCATGAGTTGAATACTCAATTAAACATCAAAGAAAACTAGCAAAATATCCCCAGATATAACCCCTAGAACCCAAGAAGAAGATCTGGAGAAATAATCCTAAAATCTGACAGAAACATGTACTTATAGAAATCTGAATCGCGATGCTCGCTCAAGCGAAGACTCTCTCACTCGAGCGAGGAACCAAAAACGTGTGTTTTCCATAAGTGGCTTCGCTCGAGCCAAACAACCTGCGCTCGAGCGTAAAATCATTTCTTTCAGGTTTTTATACGAACGCAGCCTTCGCTCGAGCGAGCAAGGGCGGATAGGCAATTTTGAATGCAATTTTGCATTTTTCTTCGGGGGCACTGCCTCTCGACCTCGCCGTGGTGCTGCCCCGGACCCGCCAAAGGGCGCTACCCCTGGACCCCCCGCGAGCTGACCGAGCAGCTCGATCCCCGTCATAATCAGCGAAGTGGCAATCTTGAAAGTATTAAAATCACAAACTTCTCTACAAGGCACAATTCGGGTTGGATTTGTATCTAAAAACTCATAGCCTCACTGAAATAAAAAAGTGCGAAAATAAGTACAACTGAAAGGAGTTTTGTCAACCGGGATTGCCAAGAATAAAACCTAACAATTGATGTTTGTCTTGGTCTTGTATATTGATTTTCATCAATGAAGGTTCTTCTTTTTTACTGATAAAAAAAAAACATATTGAGAATTGTTGCGGTTGATGATATATATGTTACACAGGGTTCCTGGTATCACAACTTTAATAGTTTCATGGTTGGTGACGCTTTACTCGCTGTGGCAACTGGTTGAACTGCATGAATTTGTGCCGGGAAGGAGATTTGATCGATATCCAGAACTAGGACAGCATGCTTTCGGCAAAAATCTTGGTTATTGGATTGTCATGCCTCAACAGTTGATGGTACAGGTGGCCTCCGACATAGTATATGTGGTCACCGGAGCAAAATCATTGAAGAAGTGTGCTGATCTGCTCCTGCTCTCTCATGAAAAGCTCCTCAATCAACTTAGGCAGACATATTTTAGCATCTTCTTTGGCTTTTTGCAATTGATATTGTCCCAAACCCCCAACTTCAATTCCTTGAAACTAGTTTCCTTGCTTGCTGCCGTCATGTCTTTCAGGTAAAATACATACGAAATGATGTGGCAAAATTATAGGCTTATCGCTTGAAAAAGAAAAAAGAAAAAAAGTTATCTTTTTTAATATCAAACTGTCATTGACATGTCATTCTGGTGAATAATTCTATATGAAAGTTTTAAAAGAATTTTTTTATTTTTATCTTCATTTAATCTTGCCTTTGTTTGAAACTTGTAATTTGTAGGAGAGAAAAACCAAGAAAAAGGAAAATGTGAAAGAAATTTCTCACATATTTTTTGTCACATTATCTTTTCCTCCTTGTTATCCATAGTGAGCAATTACAAGGAACAAATATTGGTTGGAAACTAAACTTGATTTTAAGTAGTTATGTGTTAAGTCTAGAATGTCTATACACACATGATGCATGTATGGAGTGGGTCATATATATACATAGAGTGGTTCTGTGGTATGGTAATTTGTTAATTAGAACGTACTATTAGGCCTTAAAGGCTCACCTTAATGATATGAATCATTCAATTTGTAAGTGAAATTCAACCATTTTCCACACTTGTGTTTGGAATTGCATGATCAATACAGTTACTCGATGGTAGCTTGTGTGGCATCAATATGGAGGGGTATCAATATCCGACAACACAACCAAAACAACGACATTATTAAATATGGAGTTCGGTCTCATACCATTGCTGGTATAGTGTTTGATGTGTTCACCAGCCTGGGCACCATTGCCTTTGCATTCGCAGGGCATAGTGTGGCGCTTGAGATTCAAGCAACGATCCCTTCGTCAGCAGAGAAGCCCTCAAAAAAGCCCATGTGGAGAGGAGTGATGGTAGCTTATGCCATTGTTGCGTTGTGCTATTTCTCAGTGGCAACCTCTGGCTACTGGGCTTTCGGGGTTGATGTTGAAGACGACGTCCTTGTTTCACTAGAGAGACCCCGTTGGCTCGTTGTTACTGCCAATTTTATGGTCTTCCTACATGTCCTTGGGGGCTATCAGGTAATTTAATTACTTGAAAATGAAAACAGAAAAAAAGAAATGGAAGTGTTACTAAACAATACGCAAATGGATTATGGGACACACAAATAGCTATATGTTGATGTAACTATTTTTAGTATATATATAAAGTCTGATATTTAAAGACAATCAAACTCTATTTAAAGACATGATCATTCAAGTAATGAGTAAGATATTGATCATTTATTTTTATAGGTTTTTGCAATGCCAGTGTTTGATATGATAGAATGTTACTTGGTTCAGAAGAAGCAATTCACTCCTGGGTTGTCTCTTCGCCTCATTGCACGCAGTGCATATGTGGGTAAGCGCACATATATACTTCACAATATCTCTTCTTTTTTTTTCTTTTTCTTTTTTGTGTTAAAATAAGTACATCCATGAGGCAACCCGAATTAGCACTATTAATTTAATAAATGTTTTAATTAGCTTTGTATGAATATGTCTCAACACAATATTGTATGGCTAAGCAGTTAGAACAAACTTAAGGGGGTCGAATTGCATTGGCTATAATAAAAATAAAAATATAAAAATTAGGAAACATATTATATGAGGTACAAGCATAATAAAAATGTAACAAAATAGTGATACTAAAAAATGAAAATAGATTATATGAGGAACTAACTTAATGTATCATGGACCGATGTCATGACAGTTCTCACAGCCTTCATTGGAATTTGCATTCCATTTTTCGGAGGGTTATTAGCGTTTTTTGGAGGGCTAGCATTCGCGTCAACCTCATACTTCGTGAGTTCTTGGCTACTTAACCGTGCTTGTATCCATTTTAATTAGCATTTCTTTCATTTGCCTTTTCAGTATTGCTTTCGTTTGCCTTTTAATTAGCATTTCTTTCGTTTGCCTTTTAGTATGATGTTTAAATTAAATTAAATGAGATGTCAATGCGTTTGTTTCCCACAGCTCCCTTGTATCATATGGCTGGTCCTAGATCAACCTAAGAGATGGAGCTTTCACTGGGTTGCCTCATGGGTAAGTACTATGTACATTGCATTAATTAAAATATGAACTCTCATCATTAATCTCATTTTTTATACCTACAAACTAACAAATTAAAGTTTTCAAACTTAGATTTCACATTAAATTGCCATGCTATTAGTCAGTAATGTATGCACAAAAAAATAAAAATAAAAAAATTGATCACTGGGTGTCCAAGTCAACGTGGCTCCAAAAAGTTTATATCACCTAGTGAGAGTTGAACTTGAAACTTGAAAGGAGTACAGTCTCAAGTTCCAAGCTGCACCCGCTAAGCCAACCCCTTTGAACCTTGTTCTTGCTTGACTCGATCAATTCAATCATACACTTGTACTATCGCTTGTTTTATTGATTTGAAATATTGATTTATGCTTTATTGACTCATCTTCATATCATGGTTCTAGTGTTAAAAATCAGTAATGTTTATTACTCCTTTTTAAAATTTGGAAATTTTTTTTGGAGAATTCTATTTTATTATTATTATTTTTAGTATTTAAATCATACAATAACATTGCAGATATATATATAATAACATGTCACATTAGTTTACACATTCTTGAAGATTTTTTTTAACGATCTCTTATAAATTTTTTATTGCAGATTTCAATCGTTGTTGGTGTCCTGATAACCATCCTTGCCCCTATAGGAGGAGCACGCTCTATCATCCTCTCTGCCAAAACTTACAAATTTTTTTCTTAGTCTTGATGTCTATTGTTGTTGTTTGTTGTTTTTTGTTTTTTTTAACCATAAAGTAGAAACCTAGGTACATTTAGCTTAGGGAATGTGGACCTAATTAACACCACAGTCTATTTAAGCCATAATGAAAAAGGAAATTTTGTCTATCAAGCCAAAATTCCTAATGTACCTCAAAACCTATGTATTGGATATTGGATATTGCATATAGTGGCTTTTCTTACTAAGATATTAATTGTTTCTTTGCACATAGACGGATTATATTGGGTCTGATTCCGTGATTTGTTTATGTATTTCTTGACTTGTTTTTATCCAACTAAAGTAGCAATCAAATTCTATAAAATTGAAAAATTTGAGAAAATCAATCCTAAATGAAAACAATTAGAGTGTTATGAAAGTGGACCAACCCTTGCAATTTTTTAAAAAAATAAAAAATCAGCAAAAGAAATTCTATTTATAGAAAAATGAATAATTATTCAATTTACATCAAAATATTACATTTAAATATAATCGGTTCAAAAGCTTGATTCCACTCCACTTGTTTTCCTTCAAATTTAGATTTGTTTCTAGAAATCCTAACAGTCCATAAGATTTGCAAAAGAAATGCCGAATTTATGTATTAAATTTATTTTCATTTTATAAAAATAAAATAAAATGTATCTGCTTTTTGTTGTTTTATTTAAAAAAATGAGATGTGTGCAGAGAGAGAGAGAAGTGTATTATAGTGTTTGTGAAAGTGCAATTCTATACATTTGTTCACAACAGTGACATCAGGTATAAAGATGTCATATAGATAATAACTTTTTCTAAAAATTCTAATGACACATGTCTTTGTAACCTAATATAAAGAGTTGGCTTGGAAAGTAGCTTGGGTAAAACTGAAGTGTTTAAAAAATATTTTTAAATTTTTTATGAAAAAATATGTAAAAAATAGAGAAAAAATTTGACTTTTTTATATGACATTTTTAACCTATTTTTTTTCAATAACCCTCATATGGGTCCATTTCAGAACCCATTTTGATAATCTAAACTATTCACTTTTTAGAGTATATCAAGTAAAACATACCTGCAAAAATTTAAATTGATCGGATATCATTAATATTTTCATCGACTCGCATTTGTATTCAATTTTATACTTTAATCACATTTATTTATTTGTGTGGATATAAATGTAAGTCGATGAAAAGGTTAATAATGTCCAGTCAATTTGAATTTTTTTAAGTATGTTTTACTAGATGTAATTTAAAAAGTGAACTGAGTTGGTATATCCAAATCTCATGTTTTTCTTCTTCTGTTACATGGGATTCTATAGGAGCTCATTACTGCTACTTGGCACATGCTCATTTGGTTTTTCGGCCACACCCCTGGACATGGCTTTATATTCTAACTAGCTATAAAAGAGAGGCTATATACCAGATTTTAGGCTCAAAGCTTGGAGATTTATAGATGATGCTTAGTGTTTTTTTTTTTTTTTGTGGGCATATTGAGGAAACCAGTTAGCATGTTTTCTTTGAATGCCCTATGGGTCAAATATTTATCCCAAATCCTAAAAATATAGGGCTGGGAGGGGTGGGCAGGCTACTAGGCCCATGGCCACCCATATTGTAGCTATGTTTTTTGTTGCATTATTGGGTTAGCAAGTGTTGCATTATTTGGTAGTGTTTCATATGCTAATGTTGTATACATTATGCATTTAGTGGTTTTTCATGTAGAATTAGTGTGCTTCTTTTTCTTTTTCTTTTTTCTTTTTTTTTTTTTTTCAGTGGTTCGTAGATGGTATATTCATATAAGTAGCAATTAAAATATATAAAACGATGAAAGAGGCTCGTGCTATTGCAATGTTTGAGAAGGTCAAATGCACATGATATTAGTTAGTCCTTCATGTGGAGGGATTGTTTCCATTTGAAATGGAAATTATAAAAATATATATATTTTTATCTTATCCTACATGTTTCATTTCAAATGGAAATTATAAAAATATATATATTTTTATCTTATCTTACAGTGACTTTGTATGGTTTTTTTAGAAAATTATCATGCCTTGCATATCAGTGTTGTGTCCATGCATAAGTAAAAGTGTCATTTTTTTCTTTCACCCATCAATTCCAAGTCCCACATATTCATTTTGTGTCCAAGTCCATGTACAAGGATCCTCTGTTCCTAAATAATCTTGTCCCCTGTCCCAATTTACTCACAACTATTGAATATGTCTTGAAATTTTCATATCTTGGGATTCTCATATAATCCAGTGATAGTGAGTGAATTGGGACAGGGAGATAGAATTATTTGGGGATAGAGGATCCTTGCACAAAGTCGATGTCCACGCTTAGGTAAAAGTGCCATTTTTTCTCTTTTATCCAGTCAAGTTTCTTCTCAAAATTGAGATTGAAGGATTGGAACTTGGCATATATCCAACAAAATTATTAAAGGGTTGAGAGCATCGTAAGCTAGACAATCATATCTTTCATATAGCCTGACTTTAAAGCTCTCTGATAGTAACCCAATACTAGTTCCCAAACGTCTCTGCGGCAAAGGAATCCCTTCCATGCTATAGGATCTATATCTTTTCTTAGTCTGGGGAAGAGGCTCTGTGGTATCAATCCAGTATTGTGTGTTGTTGTGGTGCAACATGGTAAAAGAAAATAGGGCCCTTTAAGCTTTCATTTCTCATTAAGGTTTGTTGATTTCTAAATGGTTCCCTTTTTCTCAGTACATATTAACCATTTATTTTTCCCCTGAATTTTAGTACTCGGTCTTTAGTTCCTGCCCCTTCTATTTTTTTGAGACATTCCAAAATGATTGTCTACATTGATATGTCAAGGTATATGCTGGTTTGATTTTCCGATATTGCTCATTTCTGGATGAGTGTGAATGTGTTTGACAGCTTTAAAGTGGAAAATGTTGCTTGTTCCATATCCCTTTTAGGATCTCCTATTTTTTTAGTCTAGTACTTGAGTGTGAATGTAGTAAAGTGTCTCCTAAACAAGCATATTTCTCCTGTTTATCATTGTTTTTTGACTGGCATTGAGTTGCAATAAAGTATATGTAACTTCAACTTCCAAGGTAAGCATTGGCCTTGTTTTGTGCAATTTTTCTCAAGTTGAAAATTGATAATTCAAAAGCAAAAGCTAAATGCATCCCTCCCCTAACCTCAAGATAATCAACTTTTCACCCTTTTATTTAAGCTATTTCTACTTATATGTTATAAGTAGAAGTTGCACTAAACATTTTGACACATTTCCAAAATAAACAAACCTGCAAGCAGATCGATAAGCTGCACCAAATAGAGTCGTCTTTTGTGATGACAAAACATAATTTTACTGTTTTCTGGTCCATTTGCTGCTTGGCCTAGGAGAATGAGATGCTCTTGTGTTTTGTCGTTCTTGATTTGGTTGATTGTTGGCATATCTCTCTGAATTAATTGAATTATTTTTTTATTTTTTGATCTTTTAGGGTCATGTTGCTGTAACTTGTTATTTGGTGCTATATTGATTGAATTGGTCTGCTTGGTGGCTTTATTTTTTCCCTTTTTGAATACATAGATTCAGCAATCTCTTATAATTTGTTTGATAGGTTTGTTTGTGTATACTTGTTAGATGACTTCAAGAGAAATTCTGAATGGAAGAGTCAGTCGCACCAAGTATAAAAACCGTTTCCTTTTCTTCTTATAAAAACAAGAAGAAAAGCAGCACCATACCTTCTCTTCCTGAAGAAGTTATATTCTGCATCCTTGTCTGGCTTCAGGCAGATGTTCTTTACAATTCAATGAGGTACGTTTGTCGGCAGTGGTACAACATAATCCATAGCCCTCTTTTTATTAAGGAGCACCTCCATCGTTCTACTATTTCGGGCCTGTTCATCCAACCCAGTTTGCCTCTGGATACTGGCCAATTTGCGGAGTTGGGGAAAAGAATGCTACAGAGACCGAGATAAGTTTTCCATTTCCTACTGAGGTTTTGGCTACTTGTGATGGTCTAGTACTGTTTTCAGATGAACAAGATAAGACATTACACATTGCTAATCCTCTCGTGAAGCAAAGGTAACGGTTCCTCCATTGAATTTCCCCTTTCATGGCTATTGTTACACATTAGCTCGTGTCCTTTTAACGAGTGAATATAAAGTGTTGTGCACCTATGGTTCCACCAGTGAGTTTGAAGTCTTAGATTGTGCAATAGTTACTTTGGGTAAAGATCATGCATGGAGACTTATTAATACGCCAGAACCTGATCATTGTCGAAGATTGTTTGGATATGCTCCATTATCTAGAGGAGGATTTAGTTGTTGGGTAACTGGTTTTGCTCCTTTTGTTGTTACTTTGGACATGTTTCCGAATCCAGCAGTTACAAATAAAGATCAGAAAGTTAGTTCTAAAGGAAAGGGAAAATCCATATCTTGTTTTGTCTGTGTTAGCAAAAATCTAGTTTAGGTCAAATCGACAAAGGAGATTCGACAGAATAACCAAAATTTCACAAACAACAATAGAACAACAACAATAGAACAAGCAATTATGGTTTGAACGTCCTAATGCCTTGACAGATTCAAAAACTTCTTTGGAGGTTGTAATATGAACAAACAAGTATGAATAGACTAAAAATTAATTGAAGAACAAGTAAACTTGCCGCTTAATTACAAGAATTAAATTTCAAGTTTAATGAACATAACAATCGACAAAGGAAAACTTAGCCACAGAGGCTGAATTACAAACAGACTATTCCTAAGTACAAAAGCTATTGCTAACTAAGTTAAATTACTCCTAATTCTACATAGGTTGTGAATTTGATTGAAAATCTCTTTTCTTTGAATTTCCAGCCTTTATGCTATTGGTCTTGCTACTTCTCTGCTGCCACGTGTCCCATCTTGGAGCAAGTTACATCCACTTTCTGTATAACTGCCTATGATCTCCATAATCGTTGGTAATTGTTTCTCTGCTGCAGCATCCTCTTTCTCTTGCAAATAAGACACGTATCCTGCATCCCTTGCATGCCTATCTTCATGGCTTGACACCT